CCCCTGGGCTGTGAGATAATCCATTTCTGTTCCATAAAGCCCCCTTGTGGTGTCTCTGCTTCAGCAGCTCTAGCGGAGTCCCCACACACACCCTGTCTGTGGAGCCAGGCAGGCCATGAGGGGACATAGGAGCAGAGGGCCGAGCGCAGGCCAGGGGCCAAGGGAAGGAGTGGAGAGGAGAGATGGAGGAGGCTGGGGTGACAGGGTGAGGCATGGGGGCTGAGGGGAAGGTGGACCTCCACTCACGCCTGGAGCGTGGGGGCTGTCCTGCAGGTGGGAATCCGTTTCTTTGACCCTCCCTGACACCTGGGGCTCTCCAGCCTGACCTGCCCTCTTTCCCCTGCCAAGCGGCTGGTGGCTTCAAGCCCCTCGACCAAGGGTTACCTCGTGGTCAGGTTCAGAGCAGGACACCCCAGATCGCTGTCCCTGTGTCCCCCCATTAGGACACCCTGGAGAGGACTCTGGCTCGGGAGCATATGGCCCGAATGCTTGAGTGCCTGAGGCAGCAGGTCCAGGAGGAGGTCAAGTGTCGCTTGGCCGCCATCTCCGGTGGCCTGGAGCTGCTGACGGCAGAGGGCAGGCTGTCCAGGCAACAGAGGGAGGAGCTACTGACCCAACAGCACAAGGCCTTCTGGGAAGAAGCTGAGCGCTTCAGCCGCGGTGAGTGGGCTGCGTGGTAGCACCAGGACCTGGACAGGGACTTTCTAAGGTCCCCAGGACTGCCGGGGCGTGGAGGACAGGCCGGGGAGACTCAGAGCCACGTGGAGCATGAGACAGTGTCCCAGCTGCAGTTTCAGGTCCACTAGGGGACAATTGCCCTCCTGTGGTCGCCGTCACTCAGTGCCACTGAAATCGGCTGTCTTCTGTTCTAGAAGGCTCCGGTGGTCCCAGACTCTCTGTCTCTCTCCTGTGGGCTCTTGGGAGACGCTCGTCTCCTTCTGCTTCGGCAGCCCCCCGAGTCTCCTGCCGCTCCTTCCTTCGAGGCGTGGAGATGAGCTTTCGCTGGCATGTCTTGCCCACCGTGTGTCTCTCTCTGAGTCTGGTCTGCCCTTTTCATGGGACCCCGTGCAGAGGGGATAGGACTTAGGACACTCCCTGCTCCAGGAGGACCTCCTTCACGTTACAAACAAACGATTTCAAAAACCAAACGCACTGCCATCGGGCGGATTCCCAGTCACGGTGAGCCCCCAGGACAGGACCAAACTGCCACCGCGAGTTTCCAAGACCGTAACGCTTGACGGCAGCGGAAAGCCGCAGCCTTCTCCTGCAGAGCGGCTGGTGGGCATAAACCAGCCAAGTGTGTACCGCGCTAAGCCACCAGAGCCCCTTGTACATCAAAAGGGAAGCCCCTAGCTCCACGCAGGACCACTGTCACCGCCACCGTCGGGCACCGCTACCGTGGTCGCAGGATCTGTGGTCGCAGGATCCGTGGTCGCAGGATCCGTGGGTAGGACTTGGACATGTATTTGGGGGTGGGGGATGGAGTTCCATCCACAGCACTTTCCCTCAGTTCTAAAATCTGGACTCCAGTCTCGAGACTGTCTCTGCCTCCCCTCCCCTCTCATGTGACTCGGTGCACCGCCCCTCCCTCCCTCCCTCTCTCCTCTGTCCAGGACAAGCACCCTCTACACGAGTGTACAAGGAAATGCCTCCATTGTATCTCCTAGTCTCGTCAGCTGACTGCTCTACACAGCAGCTACCTGAGGCCTCTTGTAGGGCCCTGCACCCAAGACTCGGGGGCCTCAGGGGGCCCCAGCAAATAGCAAGGGACCCAGGACTCTGCAGGTCCAGGGTCTCCCACACTAAAGGACAGTGGGGTTTGTCCCATGGTGACCCCTCAGCAGAGGCCCCAGGCTATCTGGCTGTCAGGGTAAGCTGTGACGTCTGCTTCCTTCGATGACAGAGTTTGTCCAGCGGGGCAAAGACCTCGTCAGGGCATCGCTGGCCCACCAGGAGGCAGCGGTGGGCAGGCTGTCATTGGCTGACAATGAAGAGCGAAGAGGCTTTCTAGCAGAGGCCCAGCCAACTGCTGACCCCAAGGCTTTCCTCAAGGTGAGCATGTCCGAGTGCTGGGTCGTGCTCAGCAAGTGGGAGCCTTAGGATACAGAGGATTTAGGAAGGTATGGCTGAATGAATGAACACAAATGAATGGATAAATAAATCAGCAGATGAATAAATTAATGAACAAATGAATGGATGGTTGGCTGGAAGGATGGTGGATGGATAGGTGAATAATGAATGGTTAGATGGATGGATGATGGGTGGGTGGATGGTTGGCAATAGGATGGATGGTTGGATCGATAGTGGATGGATGGAGGGTGGATAGTTGGCTGGTTGGTTGGTTGAGTGGATGAGTTGATGGTGGATGGTTATATGCATGGATATTGGATGGATAGATGGTTGGTTGATTATATGGATGGTCAGATGGATCGATGGTTGGTTAGATGAGTGGGTGGATAGATGGATGTTGGGTAGGTGGATGGTTGGTTGGTTGATAGGCTAGTTGGATGGATATTGTATATATGGATGGTGGATGGATGGATGGTTGGATAGAGGGTTGGTTGGGTGGGTGGATGGATAGGTGGGTGGGTAGATGGGTGAATGGATATTGGATAGATGGATGGTTGGTTGGATCATGAATGGATGGATAGAATGAATGGTGAATAGATGGATGGATGGATGAATGGATGAATGGATGGATGGATGGATGAATGGATGGATGGGATGGATGGATGGATGGATAGATACAGCCTCTCAATACTAGAAAGATTCCCAGTTTGTTAGCAAAGCACCATCTGGTTTTCCTGGAAAACCTGGAATTCAGGGCTATCCATCCAGGCTCAGCTACTCACTGGCTTGGCCAGTCGTGGCTGCTGCGTCAGGCTCCGTTGTGAAAGCCACGTGATGATCTCATGCCCGCTTCCTGATGTAAAAGTCAGGAATGAGCACCCTTACTATCTGAGAGGCAAGGTCAGTGTGGAAGAATTGTCTGACAAGAAAGGCCAGTAAGCACCCACCCGGAAACCCAGCGGGGTGCAGCTCCTGTGTTGTCACCCCCAGGCATTTCACAGGGTCCTGGAGAGGCAGAGGCTGACCCGGAGCCACCTGGAGGAAATGGAGGACATCAGGATCACTGAGGCCATGGTTGGGCTCTGCCAGGTAGGTGACCTGAGACCCAAAGACCCCGGGTTCAGGTCCAGCTGTGCCACTTCACTGGCTGTGTGACCATAGACAAGTCCCATCCCTTCAAAGGCCCTCCCTGTCCAGGCTGGAACGGAGAGGTCGGTCAGGGTCACCTGTGAGGTGACCCATTTCTGGGGGTGCTCTGGACTCTCACCTCCAAACCCTGTCTTAGTTGCCTGAGAGACCGTCAATGGGATGAATGGGCCCTGTGTGGCTGCAGCACTGGGATTGCCCACTGCGATGACCGTGAGGATGATGCAGGACCAGGCAGGGTTCTGTCCTGTTGACATGGGGACGCTCTGAGGCAGGACTGACTGACGGCATCGAAGAGCAGCTGCAGTTCCCTGGCGCTGCTGCAGCAGAGGCCACACGTGGTAACTTTCAGGGACAGAAGTTGACCGTCTTGCAATTCTGGGAGTCTGCTGCGTCAGTTCCCATGGCAGTGTGGGCTGCCGTGCTGACAGCACTGCTCTGTCATGGAAACAGGGACATGTAGGCCAGGACTGACATCGTTTCATGGGATGGCTGCCCCAGGGGCGCTGCGTAGGAGACAGGTGGTGCTCGTGGAAGAACATAAGGGACTTCATCTTTACTTCGAAGATTTAGCATTTCTTTTTTAAACATTAGGGGCTCATACAACTGTTATCGCAATCCATACACACATCAATTGTGTAAAGCGCATTTGTACATCATTCTCAAAACCTTTTCTCTCCACTTA